CTACATACACACACCAGTGTTCAGCTATTTATTTATTTATTAGTGTGGCGCCTGGAGCGCGATTGGGGGTTTCAGTCATTTCCAGCCAGTGCTGAGAATCGAAGCAGCAACCATGATTAGACCATAACTGCCCCCATATATATCATTATAAATATAAATAATAAAAGTACTCTTTTTAAAAGTAAGTAAAAGTGTACTTCTTTTTCACAAAGGGATGATTAGTTTATTAGACTTCTCATCTTTCTTTCACCAGTTCAGCATTGAGTCATGCAAAGGGTCACAAACACAGACAAGCAGAGAGCAGGGCTGGACAGGAAATATCAGCAGGAAAGCCCAATCCCCCCGGAGAGTCAGACTCAGGATGCAACTTTTCACAAGTCTGTTAACATGTGAGAGAAAAGCCACATCCAAGTGTCTAACCAATGTCTTGTCAAGTCTGACCTCCACCCAACAACCATAAAGCAATTCATTTGTCTGGAACTCTTTTGGGAAGAGCATTATATAATTAAAGCTGCAAGCAGCGATGGGCAGGCCCTCGCACCTGTAGCACGTCGGGGTCTGAGGCGGCCGCGTTTCATTTTCTGCAGCTTAGCCAGTGCGGCTGTGCATTTGCCACACTGCTTCGTTAAAGGCCACTTCCTGTTGCCAGCAGGTGGCGCTATGACTGTGGGTGAATGACGGCATGTAGATTTGTTCAGGGCGTGACTCTTGTCAAATGTATTAAATTTCGTGCAGATCTGGGCATTTACAGCCAAGTTACTACAACTTCATGTTTCATGGCGAATCATCGAGGCCACGGACACGCCCATCGACGAAAACGCGCAGGTAGCACAACTTTTCATCGTCAATGCCTTTAGAAGGCACAGCAGAAATTTGAAGTCGATCTGACTAAATCCCTAGGTGGAGTTCGTTAAAGTACGTAATGAGTAAATCATCCAAAAATGGCGGTAAAATTAGAAATGGCTGACTTCCTGTTGAGTTTAGGGCATCGCTCCAAGAGACTTTTCTGTGCGTCTGGACATGGTAGATGTACCACAGAAATTTCGTACATGTCGGTCAAACATGCGACGGGGGCTGCTTCGTTAAAAGTCACTTCCTCTTGCCACTAGGTGGCGCTATGAATGTGGGTGAATGTCGGCATGTAGATTTGTTCAGGGCGGGACTCTTGTCAAATGTGTAAAATTTTGTGTAGATCTGGGCATTTACAGCCAAGTTACTACAACTTCCTGTTTCATTGCGAATCATCGATGCCACGGACACGCCCATCGACGAAAATGCGCAGATAGCACAACTTTACATCGTCAATGCCTTTAGAAGGCACAGCAGAAATTTTAAGTCGATCTGACTAAATCCCTAGGAGGAGTTCGTTAAAGTACAGAGTGTGTAAATCATCCAAAAACGGCGGTAAAATTAGAAATGGCCGACTTCCTGTTGAGTTTAGGGCATTGCTCCAAGAGGCTTTTCTGTGCGTCTGGACATGGTAGATGTACCACATAAATTTTGTGCATGTCGGTCAAACATGCGGCAGGGGCTGCTTCATTAAAGGTCACTTCCTGTTGCCAGCAGGTGGCACTATGAATGTGGGTGAATGTCGGCATGTAGATTTGTTCAGGGCAGGACTCTTGTCAAATGTGTAAAATTTCGTGTAGATCAGGGCATTTACAGCCAAGTTACTACAACTTCCTGTTTCATTGCGAATCATCGACGCCACGGACACGCCCATCGACGAAAACGCGCAGATAGCACAACTTTACATCGTCAATGCCTTTAGAAGGTACAGCAGAAATTTGAAGTTGATCCGACTAAATCCCTAGGAGGAGTTCGTTAAAGTACGGAGTGTGTAAATCGTCCCAAATCGGTCGCCAAATTAAAAATGGCGGACTTCCTGTCGAGTTTAGGGTATGGGTTCTTGAGGCTTTTTTGTGCGTCTGGTCATGGTAGAAGTACCACAGAAATTTCGTACATGTCGGTCAAACAAGCGGCGGGGGCTGCTTCGTTAAAGGACACTTCCTGTTGCCAGCAGGTGGCGCTATGACTGTGGGTGAATGTCGGCATGTAGATTTGTTCAGGGCGGGACTCTTGTCAAATGTGTAAAATTTCGTGCAGATCTGGGCATTTACAGCCAAGTTACTACAACTTCCTGTTTCATGGCGAATCTTCGACGCCACGGACACGCCCATCGACGAAAACGCGCAGATAGCACAACTTTACATCGTCAATGCCTTTAGAAGGCACAGCAGAAATTTTAAGTCGATCCGACTAAATCCCTAGGAGGAGTTCGTTAAAGTACGGAGTCTGTAAATCGTCCAAAAATGGCCGCCAAATTCAAAATGGCGGACCTCCTGTCGAGTTTAGGGTATGGGTTCTTGAGGCTTTTTTGTGCGTCTTGATATGATACAAGTCCCCACCAAATTTAGTGCATGTAGGTTGAACGTGGACGAGGGGCTAATTTTTGCCATTTTTCTAGGTGGCGCTAGCGAGCCATTTTGCCCCGCCCATCCGCGAAACCCACAAAATACTACATTTTTCACCCGTTCTGACATGCGTGCCAAATTTGGTGAGTTTTTGAGCATGTTGCGGCCCCGAAAATGGCACTTACTTTGCAGAAAAAAAAAAAAATTAAAGCTGCAAGCAGCGATGGGCGGGCCCTCGCACCTGTAGCACGTCGGGGTCTGAGGCGGCCGCGTTTCATTTTCTGCAGCTCAGCCAGTGCGGCTGTGCATTTGCCACACTGCTTCGTTAAAGGCCACTTCCTGTTGCCAGCAGGTGGCGCTATGACTGTGGGTGAATGTCGGCATGTAGATTTGATCAGGGCGGGACTCTTGTCAAATGTGTTAAATTTCGTGCAGATCTGGGCATTTACAGCCAAGTTACTACAACTTCCTGTTTCATGGCGAATCATCGACGCCACGGACACGCCCATCGACGAAAACGCGCAGATAGCACATCTTTTCATCGTCAATGCCTTTAGAAGGCACAGCAGAAATTTGAAGGCGATCCGACTAAAGCCCTAGGAGGAGTTAGTTAAAGTACGTAATGAGTAAATCATCCAAAAATGGCGGTAAAATTAGAAATGGCTGACTTCCTGTTGAGTTTAGGGCATCGCTCCAAGAGACTTTTCTGTGCGTCTGGACATGGTAGATGTACCACAGAAATTTCGTACATGTCGGTCAAACATGCGACGGGGGCTGCTTCGTTAAATGTCACTTCCTCTAGCCACTAGGTGGCGCTATGAATGTGGGTGAATGTCGGCATGTAGATTTGTTCAGGACGGGACTCTTGTCAAATGTGTAACATTTCGTGTAGATCTGGGCATTTACAGCCAAGTTACTACAACTTCCTGTTTCATGGCGAATCATCGACGCCACGGACACGCCCATCGACGAAAACGCGCAGATAGCACAACTTTACATCGTCAATGCCTTTAGAAGGTACAGCAGAAATTTGAAGTTGATCCGACTAAATCCCTAGGAGGAGTTCGTTAAAGTACGGAGTGTGTAAATCGTCCCAAATCGGTCGCCGAATTCAAAATGGCGGACTTCCTGTCGAGTTTAGGGTATGGGTTCTTGAGGCTTTTTTGTGCGTCTGGTCATGGTAGATGTACCACAGAAATTTCGTACATGTCGGTCAAACAAGCGGCGGGGGCTGCTTCGTTAAAGGTCACTTCCTGTTGCCAGCAGGTGGCGCTATGACTGTGGGTGAATGTCGGCATGTAGATTTGTTCAGGGCGTGACTCTTGTCAAATGTGTAAAATTTCGTGCAGATCTGGGCATTTACAGCCAAGTTAGTACAACTTCCTGTTTCATGGCGAAACTTCGACGCCACGGACACGCCCATCGACGAAAACGCGCAGATAGCACAACTTTACATCGTCAATGCCTTTAGAAGGCACAGCAGAAATTTTAAGTCGATCCGACTAAATCCCTAGGAGGAGTTCGTTAAAGTACGGAGTCTGTAAATCGTCCAAAAATGGCCGCCAAATTCAAAATGGCGGACCTCCTGTCGAGTTTAGGGTATGGGTTCTTGAGGCTTTTTTGTGCGTCTTGATATGATACACGTCCCCACCAAATTTCGTGCATGTAGGTTGAACGTGGACGAGGGGCTAATTTTTTCCAATTTTCTAGGTGGCGCTAGCGTGCCATTTTGCCCCGCCCATCCGCGAAACCCACAAAATACGAAATTTTTCACCAGTCCTGACATGCGTGCCAAATTTGGTGAGTTTTTGAGCATGTTGCGGCCCCGAAAATGGCACTTACTTTGCAGAAAAAAAAAAAAAAAAAAAAAAAAAAAAAAAAAAAATAACCCTAACAGTTTCAATAGGGTCCTCGCACTGTTAGTGCTCGGGCCCTAAAAAAAGAATCCTACAGTTTCAATAGGGTCCTCGCACTGTTAGGGCCCTAATTAGAAGCATTATGTCCATAAATGTTACTTGTTAATCTCTGTATATGCATTTATTATCATTTATCATATAACAGAAGCTACAAGTTGCCAGTTTACAAATTGATTTTATATTGTTTTCTGTTATTTACCATTAGTAAACTTATCCAGTTTACATACCAACAGTAAACTTTTTTTTTTTATATTCAAACACAACTGGTTCAATTCATCAGCTCATTAGTAGAGACTTCAATACCAAGATTAGTAGAGGTTAAATTGGATGGGTCAGATAGAAAGACTGAGCTATCTAGTTGACAATCTTAACAGACTTATTGTATTAGAAAATAAGAAACCTTAAAGTCTTGTGTGGTGGGATTCTGGCAGGGGAAAGGATTTGGCAAAACATCAGAGTACCCATCTGCAATGCTGAAGAAGTAACAAGTTGCTAATTTAACTCCTAACAGAAAGCCACACACGGACCACTTTCAAGGCATTGCTCAGACATCTTATAAATAGATCAAATGCATGGAAATGACAAGGAAAATATCCATGTGTTTCTACTATGCTCTGATAGAAAATATTAAGTTACTGCAGTCAGTGATCACAAGATTTTATATCTGTCTAAGTGCAGCACCAGGTCCTGTTTCTCCAGATAATGGTGAGTTGGCCATACAGTCTGCAAAAGATAAAAGAATAACTCCCACAGTTTTTTTTTTTAATTCAGAAAAATGTTGCCCAAATCCATCATTCATCAGCAACAGTGCCATCTATTTGACAATATACACCAGACCTAAGATGTGTATTCATGTTAAGCTAGACAGTTATGCAAAACATGCTAATGGGATTCATTTTTTTTTAAATATTAACTTACTTGTGTGTAGCTTATGCTAACACAGACTTTGCAAATAGTAGGAAAACCAGAGCGCCTGCTATGGCAGAAACCTACACACAGAACACTAGGCCTACTTCAGACATGATGCATTATTTTATACACACTTGTTTTAAACACATTTTATAAATAGTTTAGATACAGAAAAATCACAACATGTTCCGTTTGGGTATATCTAATATGCTCAGCTTGAGAATGTAAAATAGATGGTGCCAGTGACTGTTACACAGTGCTTTGTGGTTTATATCTTTTTCTTTGCAGCTTCAAGTGTAGAACCACGTCCTACCCCCACTGCTTTCACAAACCACTGTGAGTTTGTGTTTGATTTTTATCACAGATGAATAAAATAATTTTCTTTTCACTGATTAAGTCTAATTTTGTAAAATGATGACTTACCCACACTGGTTCTTTAATTGAGAAATAACTTAAGATGTACACATATGCTTTTGTTATTGGAAGCAGAGATTATCACATCAGAGATTTTATCACATAAAATCGAGGAACATATTTATTTTCTCTTGTTTTCTGCTAGTTTATGGTTAGTAAGCTAACCCAGTGGTTCTCAACCCTTTTTCTGGAGGCAAACCAACCAGTAAACTTTTTTTTGGTAACACTTTATTTTACGACCCGCAATCAACTGTGAAAGTACGCTGAAATTACGGTGTACGTTTCTGTAATTATAGCGTACTTCCGTGTAGGTATAAGCAGAGCCGGACAGGAATGGAGAACATTTACTTGAGTACAGTACTTAAGTACAATATTGAGGGATATGTACTTTCCTTGAGTATCATTTTTGGGGAGTACTCATGATTTTACTCAAGTACATTTGAGAGGGAAATATTGTACTCTTTACTCCACTACATTTCTATCCATAACCGTGAGTACCCGTTACTACTTCTAAAAAAAAAAAAAAAAAAAAAAAAAGAAAAATGGAAAAAAAGAAAAATCTCGGAAACCCTAAATTTGTTGTTTCCCTCTCAAATGTGATTGGATTGTGCAGGCGCCATTGGGACAGCCTATCCTATGGTCAAGCCTATGGTCAGATTTAGATAAGAGACGAAACCATGGACAAAACAATGGATGAAGCATGATCCCGGGAATGTGCCGACTCGTTTCACTATTTCAAGACTATTTCAATATTCTGAATATTCTGAAATTTTCTTAAATGTTAAATAAAGCAACATGGTAAAAAGATGAAAATTACTTGATTTTACTTTCAATTTAACATTAACATTTTTCATAACTCCATGTAGGACGTTTACATAAATGTAAGCACTGTGGCAGTAGTAATGCAATATTTAGAAAATGTACTCTTGATACTCAAATACTTTTAAAACCAAGTACTTCGGTACTTTTACTTAAGTAGACATCTGACTGTAATACTTTTACTTGTACTTGAGTCCAATTTAGCAAGGGGTATCTGTACTTTTACTCAAGTAATAAAGCTGTGCACTCTGTCTGCATCTGGGTATAAGGGAACAATATGTTAAGTTTGGGTTAATAAAGCGGTAACAAGCAGATAACCTGCAAATAACTTTGTAAGTACTGAAATTACGGTGTTGTTTCTGTAATTATAGTGTACTTCAGTGTAGGTATAAGAGAACAATATGTTAAGTTTGGGGTAATAAAGGGGTAACAAGCAGATATAAGCAAATTATTTAATTAGTTAAAAAATAACAGGTACCTCTGTTAATATATTCCATGCAAAAATTGTACGTCTAGTTTATAAATGAATCACATTTCTGGCAAAATATGTTCTTGTGCAATGTTACAGGGTAATTTGTGGGTTAAAAATTTAACACACACACATACACACACACACACACACACACACACACACACACACACACACACACATACAGTATATATATATGTATATACAGTATATATACACACACACACACACACACACACACACACACACTATGATACAATTTTAATTTATTGGCTTTTCTTACTAGATTACTTACTAGATTAATGTAAAGTCAAAATAATTTGTTTTTGCTATGATTTTAATTTAGACTGTACCACGTGGTAATTAGTACTTACCTTATCCCATTGAATTGCAATGACACTTATATCAGGGCAAATATACTGTGTTATTAAAATGTTTTTTTGTTTGTTTGTTTGTTTGTTTTTTGATAACATTAACTTTCTCTGTAATTACAGTGCAAATAGTGTTGTTTCGTAATGCTGCATAGTAAGTAGCGTTTGTTACCCCCTTGTTCTGTGTAGTTACAGGGTAAGTTTAACTCCTGCGGGCTGTAAATTAAAGTGTTGCTTGTTACCCCTTTATTACCCAAAACTTATCATATTTTTCCCTTATACCTACATGGATGTACACTATAATTACAGAAATATACACTGTAATTTCAGTGTACTTACACATTTTTTACAGGTCGTAAAATAAAGTGTTACCCTTTTTTTCTAATCAAACACAACTGGTTCAACTTGATAACCAAGAACAGGATCTGATGTGATAGCTTCTTCTTTTAGTCTTGTGAGGACAGGAGAAAGGATTTGGCACAACATCAGAATTTACCCAGCTGCCATATTGAACAAGTAACAAGTTGCTAATGTAACTGCTAGCAGAAAGCCACAGAAGGACCACTTTTCAAATTATTGCTCAGACATCTTATAAATAGTTCAAAGGCATGGATATATATATAAAAAAATGTAAAAAACGTGTTTCTACTATGCTCTGTTTGATAATTTTCAGCTACTGAAGTCACTGATAACAAGACTGCAGGTCCGTCTAATGCAACAAGTGCAGCACCAGTTCCTGGTTTACCTTCAGATGGTGAGTTTGCCATACAGTCTGCAAAAGATGAATTAACAACAGCGCATGCGCATGTGTGTGTGTGTGTGTGTGTGTGTGTAGCTTATTCAAACACAGACTTTACAATAATGAAAAACCAGAGAAAAGACATTCAGCATGTCAACAACATGTTGTTCAGTTGTACTTGTTTAATAAACCTTGGATTATTATCTTTATCTTCTGTGGATATCATTGTTACAGAATCATACTTCTAACATGCATATAATCTGAGATCCTTGTTTTTGTTATATGCAGCAGAGATTGTTGCATTGCATGATTATAGATTAGACTACGTCCTCTCTTATCGCTAGAGCAAAATTTGGCACTAATTGTCTCTTTAGCAAAATAGCTCAAATCATACTAAAAATATAGCCTACAGTAAACCTGCTACAGCAGAAATCAACAGAGACAGTGCACCACTTTGCAGACCTAGGGCCTGTACTATGATAGGTACAGGTAAGGGTGGTAATGGTGCAGTGGATAAGTCACGTGCCTTTGGTGTGAGAGACCCGGGTTCGACACCAATGTGTCCCTGAGCAAGACACTTAACCCCTAATTGCTCCAGAGGCGTGCGACCTCTGACATACAGTATGTTGCAATTGTAAGTCGCGTTGGTTAAAAGCGTCAGCTAAATGAATAAATGTAAAAGTAAATGTAGTGGTTATTAAACAAACTCAGAGTTGCTATGTAGTGACCTTTAATTTGATGTAGAAACAGGTTTAGTGACTTTATCGTGTCAGACGTATCACTTTGCTCACAGCTGATTGGTCCAAGTTCGTTTTGTCGATGAACACCGCTAAAAGCCAAACCACTTTCATGGTGCCTAAACATGATTCGACATGTTCAATAAATGGTGTCAGTGACCATTAGAATGTGGTTTATATCTGTTTCTTTGCAGCTTCAAGTGTAGCACTAAGTCCTACGAGTTTGTGTTTGATTTTTCACAAATTAATAAAATCGTTTTCTTTCCGCTGATTGAGTCTGATTTTGTACAATGATGGTTTATCCACACTTGTTCTTTATTGAGAAATCATTTAAAGGGATACTCCACTTTTTTTGGAAATAGGCTCATTTTACAACTTCCCCAGAGTTAAACAGTTGAGTTTTACCGTTTTGGAATCCACTCAGCCGACTGTTTAACTCTGGGGGAGTTGTAAAATGAGCCTATTTCCAAAAAAAGTGGAGTATCCCTTTAAGATGTACATGTTTTCTGTAATTGGAAACAGAGATTATTGCATCAGAGTTTTAAAATTAAGGAACTTAATACTTAATGCATTTACTTAATGTAAATGCATATGTCTTCTAAATGTGTAAATGGAAAAATCTAGATGGACACTGTTCCTTTGCTCAGCAGAAGAAGAACACAACTTTTACATCTTTGTTTATAAAATCTCGCACGTAAGAGTGAATCAAATTTCTCTCAGAAAAGTTACAATGGTGGAACTGTCTTTATTGTATAATTTGATTGTTCGTGTCATTCATTTAACCAACTCAGCTAAAATATACTTCTGTTAGGTATATATTTGACTCTAATGTGTAGGCATTGGCAACAATGACATTTCTGAAATATGCTTTAGAGTTTTTATTTGTTTTCTGCTTTCTGTCAATATCATGATTTTTGATTTCTTCCACAAATACAATAACAGGCATTACACCATCAAATGCACTGACTACCGGTGAGCTATTTTTTCATATAAAGTCTGAGTTATGTTTTTTCCTCTATTTATTCTATTATGAAGTACTATTTAATATATGTTGTATTGTATCCTCGTCAGCAACTCTAGAGCCAAACACAACTAGAAACCAAAATCACAACAGCACTTTTACCAGCCATCATCCTTCACTAACAAAACCAACCATCACTGCAACATCAAGCAAAACATCTCCTGGTGAGCATTTCTCCACAATTTGCAAGTTTTTAAGGACAATAAAATTTAGGTTTTGCAATCATGGCTTTCATAAAGGGAATATTCTTGAATTAAATGTAGTAAACACTTTCTGCTATAAATACAACTTTTGGAGCTCCAACTATTAATACATTTACCCCAAAAACAATTTGGATTCTTAACAGGTTACTTCACCCAAAAATGAAAATTATGTGGTTCCAAGCCCATAAGACCTCCGTTCATCTTCAGAAAGCATAAGATATTTTACATTTTGTCCGAGAGTTTTCTGTCCCTCCATTGCAAATGATTGATACGGGATACTGTCCTTGTCCAGAAAGGAAATAAAGACATCGTCAAAGTAGTCCATGTGACATCCAGTTAGATTTTTTTGAAGCATTGAAAATACATTTTGGTCCAAAAATATCAAAAACTACGACTTTATTCAGCATTGTATTGTCTTCCGGTTCTGTTGTCAAGCCGCGTTCAGTGATGCTGCTGACGTAACAGGGAGACGCAACAAAACAATCTTCGCAAACATGTCTAAGGATTTCGACACAAAGGAAGACTTTCATTTTTTTGGGCCAGCCATATTTATTTGAACCCGAATACACGGACGTACCAGATAAACATCGACACCGTCTTACGTCATCAGCATCACTGCGGATTTGTGAACGCGGATTGACAACCGAACCGGAAGACAATACAATGCTGAATAAAGTCATAGTTTTTGTTGTTTTTGGCTAAAAAGTATTTTCAATGCTTCAAAAATGCTAACTAACCCATTGATATCACATGGACTACTTGATGATGTCTTTATTTTCTTTCTGGACAAGGACAGCATATCATACATACATTTTCAATGGAGGGACAGAAAACTCTAAATCGAAATCTAAAATTTCTTAAACTGTGTTCCGAAGATGAACGGAGATCATATGGGCTTGGAACGACATGAGGGTGAGTCATTAATGACATAATTAATTTTGGGGTGAACTAACCCTTTAATCCACACTTTGAAATGGTTGAATAGATTGAAATGTTAGTATCTAATGCAATGCCATTAATATATATTACAAATGTTTGTCGAGGAAAATGTGCGCAGAAACTTTTATCCAAAGTTATTTGCATTGTTAGTTATTTGCAGGTATACTTTATACGTCTTGCATTCTCCTGGCACTGAAGCCATGATCTTGGCATTGCTAGCACCATGATCTACTTTTTGATCTACAAAAATCTAACATTGTTTTTCATGTACTATATTTTAATGCATGTAGATCAGATTAGCATGTTTTCCTTTCTTATCCAACACACAAGAAACAATGACAGCAGTAATACAATTTACAAATTCTATTATACAAAATACAAATACAATTTAAATACAATACAAGTTAAAGTATTTGTGCATCTGTGACTGCTTTAATGCTTCATAAAGTCAACGGCAAATTCAAAGTTTATTTATAAAGCACTTTTTTTTTTTAAAAAAACAGCAAATGTTTAACAAAGTGCTGTACAATAGGCCTGTGTTTAAAAAAGTGTTTATTTTCCAATTAAAGGACCCAATAGTCAAGGAAAGCTTGCAGATGAATCAGGTATATTAAATTCCATTATATTTAAGCACAATTGAAAATCTTTGGTAAGAATATTCATTCATATTTGTTTAATGTATTTATAAAAAAGTATATTATTCAGTGAAATGTAGTCATGTCATATTTCTCTCCATAGAAAATAGATATCTGTGGATTCTGCTGCCTACTCTGTGTATTGTACTGGCAGCAATGATATACTTGAAATTCAAGTGTAAAAAAGTCCAGCATCGGCCAGGTGACTAAATCTAAATGAATCCTATATGCAGTATTTCCTTAATTTCTGTCAGTAATTCCATAAATGATAATCATATATTTTCCCTATTTTCAGAAATGGCTGACAATGGAACAGAGAAGTGAGTGTACAGTATATGTTTACAGAATCTCAATCTTAAGATTGTAAGGTTTAGTGAACATATAAAGATGTCAGCCTACAGCCAGTTAGCTGTTGTTGTAAAATATCGCACAAACAAGAGTGCTGAATATCAGTACAGTGATTTGGCTGAGTTTGATTGAACTGGAAATTTGCATATTATTTAATCAGAATGCCTTTTTTTGTTGCTGTACACAAACCTGGATTAAAAAATGTAAATGCCACGCCCTGTATTAACAACGCATTCTCACCCCAAGGCGTCACCTTTGCTTCAATATTTGACGTTTTAGGCGCCCTTTAGCGTCACTTACATGACGCGATCCTACGGCGTCATCTAACTGAGGCTAAAGGTTATCGTCAGTTAGAGGACGCGGTTAGGTTTAGGTGTGGGGGTAGGGTACACGCGATCCTAGGGCGTCATCTAACTGACGCTAAAGGGCGCCTAAAGCGTCAGATATTGAAGCATGTCCAAATGCTTCCCAAGGCGTCAGTTAAGTGACGCCTTGGGGGTGAGAATGGGCTGGTATTAAACATTAACAGTAAATGGTGTTTTGGGTGGGTTGTATATAGCGTAGTAGTGTATGATGGTATTCAATTCTACATTACCCTTGTCTAAAATATACATTTTACTAAATGATTAACAAATATGAACATTCTTTACGGTAAGTGTGTATTGTTACGGAGTTATATTTTGATGGCTCACATTATCATTTCCAATTGTGATCTTTCATGTTGTTGCGGGCACTCAGTGCTTCTTTCCAGAGGACAGACGGTAAAGACGGTGTTATGCTGTTAGGAGTCAGTAAGACATTAGTTGGAGAGGACAATGGTAAGTCACTTACTTCTCTGTCTGTGATAATCACACTGCATAAATGTTTGAGAACACATGAATAAGACTTTAGATCTTGTTTATAACGGGCATGTATTTTCTAATAACAAATTCATAGTACAAAGTAAATCAAATAAAACCCTACATAAAGAATCAGAACTTAGATATAATAAAACAGCCATCTTTATTAAGAATCTTGCAAATCTTTTTTCTAAAGTTCTGCAAGATGACATTTTTAAAAGTCAAATTTGTTTGTTACAAACCATGCACATTATCGTTCTTCAATGTGAAGCACAAGAGGATATTTTGATAATTGTCTTCTTTTTTGACAAAAACTGATGAAAATACAGACAGGTTTGGAACAACATGACAACATGGCTAAATTATGACAAAATTCTCATTTTTGGGATTACTGTCCCGCTAAAGGGATAGTTGACTTTAAAAAATCATTTTTGATAAGTTTTAGCTTACCTCAAGGGCATCCAAGATGTAGGTGTCTTTGTTTCCACAGTATTTTCAATTTTGATATTTTTAGGTCAAACCGTTCTTGTCTGTCAGTCATATAATGGAGATATATGGGGTCCACCTCAAAGAGCATACACAGAGAAGTCCAAATTAAACATGATTTAATGACTCGTAAATGTAAGTACACATTGATGTTCCTAAGACACGAAATGAGTGGTTTGTGTGAGAAAACGAACGTTATTTATATCGTTTTTACCTCTTGTAATCACAGTCAAGTCCAAGTGAGGGCGCTTCTGTCTGCGCAAGCGCCGGAAAGCCCCGGAAGTGATCTCTTGCGCGTGTATGTCACTGTGAGATTTCAGAAGTGTTACTCTGCACTGTGAAGATCTAAACATATTTAGATATACAGGAAATTGCAATGGAAGATGATTTCGATATGAAGAGTTCAGATGCAAAAGCCTCTAAATGCCATTTGAAATTTTCTTCTTTAATGATGATTTTTATCAAGCTTTTATATTTAAGTTCAGTGATTTCACTTAAATGGCAATGATAATTACCTATTAATTGTTATTTAAGTGAAATTACTGAACTTAAATATACAAGTTTGATAAAAATCATCATTAGAGAAGAAAATTTCAAATGGCATTTAGAGGCTTTTGCATCTGAACTCTTCATATATCAACAGACAAACGTTGATTGTTCCAGTGCTTGCAGACCGAAGCGCCCGTGCCTTTAGATTACATGAACGTGGCTGTAGTTACAAGAGGTAAAAACAATACTGTTCGTTTTCTCACACAAACCTTTCGTTTCGTGTCTTAGGCCATCAATGTGTACTTACATTTACGAGTCATTATATCATGTTTAATTTGGACTTCTGTGAGCATGCTCTTTGAGGTGGACCCCATATACCTCCATTATATGGCTGACAGACAAGAACGGTTTGACCTAAAAAATATCAAAATTGAAAATACTGTGGAAACAAAGACATCTTGGATGCCCTTGAGGTAAGCTAAAACATATCAAAAATTAACTTCAAAGTGAACTATCCCTTTAATATATAAAAGCATCCCTATCAAAAGCCTGGATATTTATCATTACATAACTTCACTCTTCATTCATGTGTTTGGCATGGGCGCTGCATGTTTGCTAGCGTGTAGTGCAAACAATCCCAGAGATGCAGTGAGACTCGGTTGTTTGATTCAAAAGTGTCTCACAGGCAACAAGACAGATCCAATCTTATTTTTCATACGCAGATTGTTCCCTTCTCCCTCTAATCTGTCCACACCCTTCCTTTCTCTGCATTCCATCGCATCCCCCATCTCCAAACACTCAGAGGAAGCCAAGGGCTTTGAATATCTCATTGTGGATGCAATGGAAGGTGCTTCCTCCTATTTATCGCACCTCCACAACACCAGCTTTACCCTGCCTCTGAGCGCTTTTCCCTAACCGCCACCCACTAAAGATAATAAGGAGCACAAAGATAGGCATTTCCACTGCAAAACACTGTCACTAACACTATGACCCTGGAGACTTGCAATGTTATTGTGTATAAACAGACTTTTTTTAAATATGGAAATATTTTTCTCTGCAAGCTCAGGTCCAGTCCAGTGTAAAAAAAACTGTGCAATTTTATTTGACTTAGTCCCTGCATGCTCCAAACCAAGATTACGAAGAAGGAAATGCTGTCGATTGTTTTGTTGAAAAGAAAATTTGAATGAGTGCTGTGACTTTGAACAGCTATTGTGTCCAGCATGTCAGTACGACAATGTGGTTTGTTCCTACTTACCATAATGTCTGGTATAATAGTTTTATAAATGTGAAAAAAATAATCATTTTGTAGTGCATTTTACATCTGTGTTTACCAAATTTTATTCAGAGATTTTGTATAGAATACATAATAGACAAAAAGTATATAATATTATACACAAAGAAAAAACAATGCGAATAACCCAAACCTCCTGAAAATAAGTTGTTGTTTTTTTCTTTTTGGGATATAAAATTCTGTTAAAAAAAAAATCAGTAGTCAGACATTATTTCAATTCAATTTTCAATTATTCAATTCAATTTTTTAATATATTTTCTCATAAACCTCTTCTGCAGTGAGCGAATGAATGTTTGTGTGTTTCTTGATGTTTGTGTTTGTTTTTCTGTTTTTAAAGCAATGAATTTGTCAACTTTAAGGTGCAATTCCTCCCTCTAGTGGGTAAATTATTTATTACAACTATTCTGACAAGTCTTGTTATCACTCCAAGTATTGGCAGCTCATTACTCGGATTTAGTCCTATAGTTAATATATATATATATATATATATATATATATATATATATATATATATATATATATATATATATATATATATATATATATATATATATATATATATATATATATATTTTTTCTGTTAATTGACAGTGTTCCTTCAAATTATTTGGGCAATTTCTTTTTTTGTTTCTATATTTTTATTGTCTCTATCACCGGTTAATACAGCTGCAGCAAGATAAGTGGAGTTCTGCCAGAGGAGAGGCTCACCATTAGCCACAAATCCACACTCACTTACTCTGAATAATGAAGAATAATGGCAGAGGAACTGAAGAGGAAAGGATTGATGAAAGCTTCCCACAAACAAAGGATTTCTTACTTTAAGAGGAGTGTTTGTGTTTCAGGAAATATCGTGTTTGGACATATTCCATTATTTGAATAAGATAGTAAACTCTAATTCTTCACGGCTTTGCAACTTTGCTGTAGTGTAAAGAAAAGTTGGTCGAGTGTGTTGCAGTATTTTCTACACATCAATGTCCTAGTTTGTAATTTTATCTTTGTGACATAATTAAAAATTGCCTGGTTTAACATTTTTACAACATCTTGAAATAACTGATTGGTCATTATTTTTGCTTTTTGTTATTGTTATTTTCAGCAATTTTCTGAAGTATTGTATATTTTTATAAAATTGTGCATAACAATTGTTATTTTTTGGTCAGTGTAATTTGTTCCTTGAATCCAATTGTTCTGCATTTACTTTAAACTGACTGATCTGTGTGATGCTGTTCAATACAACTATTACTCAATTTTTTTTTTAAATGTATTTGATAGTCTGAATTTGTAAGCAAATAATACTGTTTTGTACATTTTTGAGATTAAAGGAAGTTTATAACTTCAAATGAATACCTGGATTTTCACTATAGTATAGAAAATATATATAAACTATGCTATAGAATAAAATGGTTTTATCAACATAGTTCCATCACTACAAGCCAAGGATTTGATCAGTTCTTAGTATACACACACACACACACACACACACACACATATATATATATATATATATATAAAATAAATGAAAGCTGCAAGAAGTAACTTTTCTTCTAAAATGAATCCTTTTTTTTATTACATGTGTGTGAAGGGGTTGTAATCACACATGATCCACTTGTCGGGTTTTGCTATTACCTCTGAAGGGCAGTTTTATTTCTATGTGAAATCTCCGGGTCGGATTTTCTGCGTAATCCATCTGATGTGACGTGCATGCACGCTCCTGAACCTCTCTCCTTTTTATATAGTGTCTATGCGATGGCACTGCCATTAAAGGAGCATTTCACCCTGTGGCGTGGGGGGTGTGGTTCAGCAAAGTCTTTAGCGGGAGAGCGAGGGCGGACCCGAGCGTTGAGTAAAGTGGGTCAAGTCTCAAGTTCAAATGACAAACACCTGTTTGTGATTTCAGTAATTGGCGTGAGGATACCGCATATAAGCGGACCGTGCTGACAGCAGTTTGAGACAGAGACTGGGAGCTCGTGCACGTAACCTGAGAAGTGGTGACCAGAGTGAACTGAGTGTTGCTGAAAGCGTGGCATGTGATAGCTGTGTCCAGCGGGAAGAGTATTACTACAACTGTGTCCAGTGAAGCTGTATCCAGCGGGAGTATTATTGTATACTGTTTGTTTTGCCTTTGACATTCTGAGTTAACTTTATTTGAGCGCAACCACGCGCCGTGAAGTGAGAAAAAAGCTTTGTAAATAAAAGTGCATGAGTCCCAGACAGTATTCGCCGACCCTGTGTCTCCTTCCATCACCCACACATAACAAACCTGTTCTTCAGCACACACCCATTTCAACATGTATCTTTATTGAAAGTGGATCATATATGTAGTCGAAATGTAAAATAAATTTTGAATTTGATGCCCTCTTGACCGAGAAAAGAGAAAATAACTGAAGGGCATTGTATGTAAGACAACAACTCCCACAAGGCATTGCACCACATTGCACAGCTCTGCAAGCCACTCCCACTAATCCAGAACAGCACAAAAACATCAGAGAAATCACTCTTTCGTCTACAACGCTAACGTTAGCTGGCACGAGAGTTTGAAATTAATTTCACACAAAATTTCTATTTAGTTGGCTGTGGCGAGTAGGACGAGCGCGAGGGACGTGAGAGGACGGCGCGAGGCCGGTTGCGTGAGTGATAATGAACGTGTTCCTTTCTGGACAAGGACAGTATAGCCTATCATACATACATTTTCAATGGAGGGACAGAAAACTCTAAATCTAAAATTTCTTAAACTGCGTTCCGAAGATGAACGTAATTCTTACAGAACAACATGAATGTGAGTCATTGATGACATAATTCATTTTTGCGTCAACTAACGTGTAATGTGTCCTGTGAGACACACCGACCCCGTATCTCTCACGGAGGAGCGGAAGCATTAAAGGAGGAGCGACAACGGCAGATCGAGAGATGAACAGGCCTGATTAATGTTGTGTTTTGTTTCTGTTGTGAGTAACGTTACAGAAGTCATCAATGCGTGGCTGCTGGTAAATACTTTTGTATTTGTTCATTTTACTATTCAAATGTTTAAATGTTCCCGCCTCCTTCTTCCCACAACAACAAACCCAGTTAACGTTACATTGGCGAACTCATTAGTGAATTACTCCTCGTTTGTATTTCTTTCTATATGGTGAATTACTCCGTGATACCTGGATGTTCAGTCAGGCGAAACTAGGATGGATCACATCACAACACAAACGTCCGTGTGCTCGTCTGATTCAGAGATTTCTTCCAGGAGAAATTGCCATCGTTGAAATTCTCTGCAGCAGACGGAATTTATCTGTGTCCATAGTGCACAGTGACAGCACAGGCACCAGCAGTCTGCCCAGCTCATGCCAGTCCGGGCTCCTCAACCACGACAGGCAGCAGCCTCTTGTTCCTCCGTCAGTCTCAGCTGCTCTTCACTATATTACGGCTCGTAAAGATAGCCACGAATATCGGATTCTCCACAGCGCTTGTTAGCTTAGCTTCCAAACAAGATGGCTGATATTTATTTCAGTATCTGCAAGTGAAGTCCCACCACTGATTTGTAATAGGGTTCGGAATCGTGAGAAATTTTCCGTTTCCAGTTCCGATTCCGGTTCCCATTTAATTAAAAATATTAGTAAGAGAAAAATCCACAATCCTTTTTGTGTTTATTTTTTATTTTACTTACCAAATGAGTTCAACAGACTGGTAATGTAAACAAATTCAGGTAACACTTTATTTTACGACCCGTAAACAACTGTGTAAGTACGGTGTACGTTTCTGTATTTATAGTGTACTTCTGTGTAGGTATAAGGGAACTATGATAAGTTTTGGGTAATAAAGGGGTAACAAGCACCACTTTAATTTACAACCTGCATGAGTTACACTTACCCTGTAACTACACAGAACAAGGGGGTACTTACTATGTAGCAATACGAAACAACACTACTTGCACTGTAATTACAGAGTAATTACTGTTATCAAAAATACAACAAAAAAAGTTTTAATTACACAGTATATTTGCCCTGACATTTAAGTGTCATTGCAATTCAATGAGATAAGGTAAGTACTAATTACCACATGGTACGGTCTAAATTAAAATCATAGCAAAAACAAATTATTTTGACTTAACATTAAGTAATCTAGTAAGAAAAGCCAATAAATGTATTTTTTAATATTTGTATCATAGTATATATATATATATGTGTGTGTGTGTGTGTGTGTGTGTGTTTAATTTTAAACCCACAGATGTCAAAATCCTGTAACATTGCATAAGAACACATTTTGCCAGAAATGTGATGCATTTTATAAACAACAGACGTACAATTTTTGCCTGGAATAAATTAACAGAATAGGTACCTGTTATTTTTTTAACTAATTAAATAATTTGCTTGTATATCTGCTTGTTACCCCTTTATTACCCCAAACATATTGTTCTCTTATACCTAAACAGAAGTACACTAAAATTACAGAAACGTACACCGTAATTTCAGTGTACTTACAAAGTTGTTTGCGGGTCGTAAAATAAAGTGTTACCGGCTGCGATCCACCGGCTGTCACGGGGTGTGGGGGTGGAGTGCAGGCAGAAGGATCGGGAGGACTCCAGAGTCACAATGAAGATGCTTTTAATATAAAAATACAGGCAGGAAGACGGGGTACACCGGGTAACATTCAACATTGACCGACAAAGACAGACTGGAGGGAGAACTAAATACACAGAAGAATCAAACATAATGAGGTGAAGACAGGTGAAACAGATGAACAGGACGCTGAACGGGAGGCTGATGAGGGAGTGAGTTCAGGTGTGCAGACGAGAGGATCATGAGAAGTGTAGTGCTGGAGACGCGGACAGGATGGTGCAGACGAAGGACTGTGACAGAACTCCCCCCTCCCGGGAGGCGTGACCTCACGCCGCATAACAGAGGAAGGAGGGGGGACGAACTGGGGGCTGGGCGGGGCGTGGCCAGGGCGAAGCAGGCTGAGGGCGTGGCCAGGGCGGAGCTGGCTGAGGGTGTCCCCAGGGCGGAGCAGGCTGAGGGCGTCCCCAGGGCAAAGCAGGCTGAGGGCGAGATCAGGGCGGAGCAGGCTGAGGGCGAGACCAGGGTAGAGCAGGCTGAGGGCGTGGCCAGGGCGGAGCAGGCTGAGGGCGTCCCCAGGGCGGAGCAGGCTGAGGGCGTCCCCAGGGCAAAGCAGGCTGAGGGCGAGACGGTCTCTGGCGCAGGCTGGACGGTCTCTGGCGCTGGCTGGACGGTCTCTGGCGCTGGCTGGACGGTCTCTGGCGCAGGCTGGACGGTCCCAGTAGTGAAGAGCATTCAGTCTCTGGAGGGCTGGACGAAACCAGCAGTGAAGAGCATTCAGGCTCTGGAGGGCTGGACGGAACCAGCGAGGAGGGGAATTCAGTCTCTGGAGAGCTGGACGGAACCAGCAGTGAAGAGCATTCAGTCTCTGGAGGGCTGGACGGAACCAGCAGTGAAGAAAGTTCTAGCTCTGGAGGGCTGGACGGAACCAGCGGGGCGGAGAGTTCATTCTCGGGAGGGCTGGACGGAACCAGCGGGGCGGAGCATTCAGTCTCGGGAGGGCTGGACGGAACCAGCAGTGAAGAGCCTTCAGTCTCTGGAGGGCTGGACGGAGCCAGCAGTGCAAAACGTTCAGGCTCAGGAGGGCTGACGGTGAGCGCGGGCTCGGCAGGGCTGACGGTGAGCGCAGGCTCGGCAGGGCTGACGGTGAGCGCAGACTCGACAGGGCTGACGGTGAGCGCGGGCTCGACAGGGCTGACGGTGAGCGCGGGCTCGGCAGGGCTGACGGTGAGCGCAGACTCGGCAGGGCTGACGGTGAACGCAGGTTTTTCGGGGGACGAGAATTAACCGGGGTCGCAGAATCGGGTAGAGTCTCCCCTGGAAACATATGGCGTTCATCTTGTTTTGGGGTCGGTCGTTCTGTCACGGGGTGTGGGGGTGGAGTGCAGGCAGAAGGATCGGGAGGACTCCAGAGTCACAATGAAGATGCTTTTAATATAAAAATACAGGCAGGAAGACGGGGTACACCGGGTAACATTCAACATTGACCGACAAAGACAGACTGAAGGAGGGAGAACTAAATACACAGAAGAATCAAACATAATGAGGTGAAGACAGGTAAAACAGATGAACAGGACGCTGAACGGGAGGCTGATGAGGGAGTGAGTTCAGGTGTGCAGACGAGAGGATCATGGGAAGTGTAGTGCTGGAGACGCGGACAGGATGGTGCAGACGAAGGACTGTGACACCGGCCAGTCTAAACAAGAAGTCAGAGTATTAACGCTTATTACAGGCTTTACGTAGTGATTCAAGATAAGACAAAAACACGGTTTGAAAAAAACGTGCATTCATAATGCACT